ACTCATTAGGGGGTTGAACCTGGAGAGTCTGCCCATAATGGATTTTATTTTACTGATGGATAGCGACTCAGCACCTTCCCCGGAGTTAGCCATACCCTTTAAATAGTGGTCGACTCTCACTTCCTCTATCGTTACCCGTTGGAGCCCCAAATCTCTCTCTCTCTCTCTCTCTCTCTCTCTCTCTCTCTCTCTGTGTTTGTGTGTGTCCGGTGGGTTAATCCTGACATTCCTGCCCCCCYCCCCCCCYCCCCGCCGACGACGTGAGAAGCTGGCACGATGCCTCTGCTTCCTTCCGCCCACTCCGTCCCGACCAATGGCGATCTCTGTGAGCAAAAATCGGCGGTACGTTCGCGATTACTATATGGCCAAACGAAGTGACGACGAGTAGATTTTTCTGTTTTTTTTTTTCTTTTTTTTTAAAACAATTTATTTGTTTTAATTGGAACCTGGAGTGGATTTTCCTTCTTTGTTGTTGGTGTCCCGATTTAGTTAACAACACCCGGTAGCGGGCGCGCAAAAACAGTTCTTATGACATTTCCCGCTACCTGCCGCCATCCCCCCCCCCCACCCCCTCCTCTCCCCCCTCTCCCCGCTTGCCTCGTTTTCTCTCCCCTCCGTGCCCCTAACTAACCCATTAGGAAAAATAAAAAAAACGGAAATTCGACCAGCAGCTGCCGAATATTAACCGTATCTTTTTTTTTTCGTTTTCTTTCCCCCCCCTCCCTTTTGGCCAGTTGCCTTATCTTGTACACACACAGGCGCGCGCATGCGCGGCTGTGAATGCGCATCGTCGACGAACCTTCCGTTAGTTTTCTTCTTCGTGGATACTTCGAAATGGATAATGTGAAACGGATAGTGTGAAACGGATAATTTGAAACGCATTATGTGAAATGGATAATGTGAAATGGATAGCGCGAAATTTCTTCGAGTGATGATGATGGTTCATCTTCGTGGATGATAGGAAATTCCGCAGTTATCCTTCATCTTTGTCGCCATCGTCATCATGACCACCCCAATCAACCTTTCAATGATCATCATTACCACCGCAATCAATCAATCAACCTTTCAATGATCATCATTACCACGGCAATCAATCAACCTTTCAATG